ACATTTAATTTTAAAAGTGTAGACTAGGGATGTAAGCGACTAGTCGACTATAAGCATATGCTTATCGGCTACTTGGACTCGACTAGTCACTCCCCTTCCCCCACTGGCTCTATTGGAGAGAGGCAGCAAAGTGGAGAGCAGGAGCCACTGCTGGAGGGAGCTGGCTTAAAAGCCGGTTCCCTCCAGCACTGTCTCTGTGAGAGTGGGGGGCAGAGGCGCAGCAGGAACTGGTGGCGATTCTGCCTTTGAAATGTAGCAAAAGCGAGGCTCTTGCTACATTTCAAAAGCAGAGGCGCTGCGGGGAGTATGGGGCCAGAGGGGACCCAAGCAATCCCCCGCTAGCCCTCTGCTTCCTGTGCATGCTTTGCTTTTGAAATGTACAAGAGCCCCCTCTGGAGCTCTTATACATTTCAAAAGCAGGAGGTGTGGGGCCAGCAGGGAACTGCTTGAGTCCCCGGTTGGCCCCATGATCCCTGCAGTGCTTCTACTTTTGAAATGTAGCAAGAGCTGGCAGGGCTCTTGGTACATTTCAAAGGTGGGGGTTCCCTTCTTGGCTAATCAAATAGTCAATGAAAATTACATTAACTATTCAATTAGTTGATTAATCTAAATTTAACATCCTTAGTGTAGACAAAGACTTAGTCTGATCTGAATTGTATATAAGACTTTAAAATAAACCGTGAAGGCTAGAATAATTAATATATGGAAGTAAACGGAAAGAGATGTAATGCAACATTGGCTTACCAAAGGAATAAAATACCAAGCTAATCTAGTGTCTTTCTTTGATGAATGATATTTTAAGTGAGAGGAATGCAATAGATCTAATATCAATAAAGCATTTAATCAGCGAATCGGTAGAAGATGGGTGTGTGTACACAAATTTTAAGGTGGGCAAGGAACTAGTAAAGGGATGAAACAATGGGTTGTGCTGAAAAGTGAATGATGGAGCCAGTGGGAGGCTACTCAAAGATCAGTCTTTAGTATTTTTATTAATGACCTTTGCACAAAAAGTAGGCATATGTGCTGATATCACAAAGTTAGGAGGCACCACGAGTACAGACAGGGATCAGCATAGTTTACAAGAAGAACAGAATGATCTAGAGGACTGCAATAGGGATATTAGCAAGTATCAGAGGCAACAAGGGGAGGGGGGAGGAAGCAGGAGATGATGCTGGGGGGAGCCAGCTTAAAAACCTGGGCTGCCTGCTTTCCCCTCAACCGATGCTGCTCCCTCTAAAAGAGGCAGCAGCAAGATGGGGGTGGGGGACAGGGGAGGCTGCTGTGAAGCAGCTTCTGCCCCACTCTTGCCCAGGCTCACTGAGGACAGAGGCTCCTCTGGCAGCAGCCCCTGTCCATGTGGGGCCCCAGCAGGGAGCTAGGAAC